CGGTACAGGGTTGATTTTGTAATTATGTACCAGGGTTTTCTATTATAAATAGAGATGTAACCTAGACCTAAAATATAATTGAATAAAACTTCTAGCGCCGCCTAGGCACCGAGGACGTAAGCACATTGCCGAACCTCGTAAAATTCTCGTGTTCTTTCGTTTTCTTTACCCGTTTTCGTCAACAATTGGTATCAGAGATGTCAGGAGCAAAATTCGAAGTCGCGAAATTCGATGGTCAGGGTAACTTCGGATTATGGCAAACGAGGGTGAAGGATCTATTGGCGCAGCAAGGGATCTTGAAGGCTTTGCGACCTACAAAGCCGGCGTCGATGGATGAGGAAGATTGGGAAGAATTGCAGCAGCGAGCGGCAGGAACCATACGATTATGCTTGGCGGACGAGGTCATGTATCACGTCATGCATCTATCGTCTCCAGACGAAATTTGGAGGAAGTTGGAAAGTCAGTTTATGTCCAAATCCTTAACGACAAAACTGTATCTGAAGCAGCGGTTGTATGGGCTGAAGATGCAGGACGATCACGATTTGGCGCAACACGTGAATGTCTTCAATCAAATCGTTTCTGATCTGGCTCGGCTTGATGTGAAAATTGAGGATGAAGACAGAGCGATGATTCTGTTGTGTTCGTTGCCTTCCTCTTACGAACACATGGTGACTACTCTTACATATGGGAAAGAGACTATCAATGTTGAGGAGATTACTGCAGCCTTGTTGGCTCACAACCAGCGGAAGCAGAATGCAGGGGAAAGCTCTCAAGCCGATAGCTTATATGTCAAGGGTAATCGAGATCGTGGACGGAAGCCAGAGAAGGCAGGGTCCGGGAAGCGGAATTCCAGATCCAAATCCAGGGATAAGAAGACGATTCACTGTTACAAGTGCAAGGAGGCGGGACATATGAAGCGAGACTGTCCGAAGTTGAAAAAGCAGACCGATGAGAAGCGTGATGGCTCATCCAAGTCTGTGAACGTGGTCGAGGATGATACTTCTGATTGCAGTGAGGGTGATATGCTTTCTATTTCAACGACACAATTGACGGATGCTTGGATTCTTGATTCTGGATGTTCTTATCACATCACGCCAAATAGGGAATGGTTTTCGACATACAGGCCGGTTAATTCTGGTTCGGTTTATTTGGGTGATGATCGATGTTGCAATATTGTTGGTATTGGTGATGTCAGAATTAAGATGCACGATGGCTCCGTTCGGACGTTGAGTGGTGTTCGACATATCCCAGACTTGAAGAAGAATTTGATTTCCTTGGGCACTTTGCACAAGAATGGTTTTATCCCTAAGGCTGACGAGGATAGGGAAACCATTCGGATTGTTAAAGGAGCATTGACTGTGATGAAAGGCAAGATGACTGCAGGGAATATCTACAGATTGTTAGGGAGTACCGTTGCAGGTGGAGTTCACTCTGTTGAGTCCTGTGATGATACGACAAAATTGTGGCATATGCGCCTTGCTCATCTTAGTGAACGTGGTATGGCAGAATTACACAAGAGAAACTTGTTGCATGGTGTCAAAAGCTGTAAGCTCGATTTTTGCAAGTATTGTGTTCTTGGTAAACAGACTAAAGTCCGTTTCAAGACTGCGAAGCACACAACTCAAGGGATTCTTGATTATGTGCATTCTGATGTATGGGGGCCTTCCACGACATCGTCTTTGGGTGGATCTAGGTACTATGTTACTTTTATTGATGATTTTTCACGGAAAGTTTGGGTGTATTTTTTGAAACAGAAATCTGAAGTTTTTGAGAAGTTCAAGCTGTGGAAAGCTGAGGTAGAAAACCAAACAGGACGAAAAATCAAGTGTTTGCGGTCTAACAATGGTACGGAGTACACAGATTCACAGTTCCTACAATTCTATAAGGAGCATGGGATTCAGAGGCATTTTACAGTGCGCAAGACACCACAACAGAATGGTGTTGCGGAACGAATGAACAGGTCGTTGAATGAAAGAGCCAGATGTTTGCGGTTGAATGCGGGGCTTCCCAAACACTTCTGGGCTGAGGCTGTTAACATGGCGTGTTACCTTATCAACAGATCGCCAAGGGCATCGCTGGCTGGGAAAGTTGCAGAAGAGGTATGGACTGATCATGATGTTAGTTTTGATAACTTACGGATTTTTGGTTGTCCTGCTTATGTGCATGTACCTGCTGATGAGAGATCCAAACTTGATGCAAAATCGAAGGAGTGTATTTTTCTGGGTTACAAGAAAGGTGTCAAAGGATTCAAGTTCTGGGATCCAGTTGCGAAGAAAGTTGTGATTAGTAGAGATGTCGTTTTTGATGAACAGTCTATGTTGCAGCAGAAGCAAGACACGACAGTGGTAGATTTCGAGCAGTTTCCAGTTGAGAAACCAGAAACTTCTCAACCGACTTCTGGTGGTTCCACTACGGATGATTTGCAGGATTATAGTCTCGCCAGAGACAAGGTGAGACGGACGAATATAAAGCCTCCGAACAGATTGGGTTTTGAAGACTTGGTATCTTTTGCACTTACTGTTAGCAGTGATGATCCAGTTACTTTTCATGATGCCGTTACTAGTCAGGAAAACGACAAGTGGATGGCAGCCATGGTTGAGGAGATGGAGTCTTTGAATCACAATCGCACATGGGAGTTAGTTCCCCTTCCTGAGGGTAAGAAGCCGATTGGTTGCAAATGGGTGTATAAGAAGAAACCAGCAGTAACAGAAAAAGAGGGGGAGAAGTTCAAGGCTCGTTTGGTAGCGAAGGGTTTTTCACAGCAGAAAGGAGTTGATTATGATGAAATCTTTCTCCTGTGGTCAGGCACACTTCAATCCGAGCAGTACTTGCATTGGTGGCTAGTTGGGATTTGCATTTAGAGCAGATGGATGTTAAAACTGCTTTTTTGCATGGTGATTTAGAGGAGCAGATCTACATGCGGCAACCTGAAGGTTTCACTCAACCTGGAAACGAGCATTTAGTTTGCAGATTGAAGAAATCTTTGTACGGGTTAAAACAATCTCCGAGACAGTGGTATAAACGGTTTGACTCCTATATGATCAAGATTGGCTACAACCGATGTGAGTATGATTGTTGTGTCTATGTTAAGAGCCTTGATGATGGTTCTTTTATTTTTCTATTACTGTATGTTGATGATATGTTGATTGCTGCGAAGAACATGGATGATGTTATCGGTTTGAAAACTTTATTGAGTCAGGAATTTGATATGAAAGATTTAGGTGCTGCAAAGAAAATTCTTGGAATGGAAATTTGCAGGGACAGAGACTCAAGGAAACTGCGGCTATCTCAACGGGGTTATGTTGAGAAAATGCTAGAAAGGTTTGCGATGAGCAGCGCGAAACCAGTTAGCACTCCATTGGCGAATCACTTTAAGCTCTCATCAGAACAGTGCCCTAAGACAGATAAGGAAGCTGAAAATATGGCAAAGGTTCCGTATTCTAATGCTGTTGGCTGCTTGATGTATGCGATGGTATGTACTCGTCCTGATTTAGCTCATGCTGTTAGTCAAGTTTGTAAGTACATGTCTAAACCTGGTAAGCAACATTGGGATGCAGTCAAGTGGATCTTTCGGTACTTAAAGGGTACTGTGGGACATGGAATTGTTTTTGGGAGTCAGCGGGATAATCCTTTGGTTGTAGGATATGTGGATTCAGATTATGCAGGTGACTTGGATAATAGAAGATCTACGACAGGGTATGTGTTTACTCTTGGTGGAGGGCCTATTTGCTGGAAGTCTACTGTTCAATCTGTCGTGGCACTATCTACAACTGAAGTTGAATACATGGCAGCGGCTGAAGCTGCAAAAGAAGCTTTATGGCTTACTGGTTTAGTGAAGGAGTTGGGTGTTCAACAAGGTGGAGTTCAGTTGCTTTGTGATAATCAAAGTGCTATTCACTTGGCTAAGAATCAGGTGTATCGTGCTAGAACTAAACATATTGATGTAAGGTTCCACAAGATCAGAGAGTTGGTTGCATCTGGAGAGGTTTTGTTTCAGAAGGTACATACTGATGAGAATGCCGCTGATATGTTCACCAAGCCAGTTACGACAGACAAGTTCAAGCATTGCTTGGACTTGTTGAATGTTTCGAGTTGTTAAAGAAGCAAGGTAACCCAACCCACATTGAAGTTTCCAAGGGGCAGGATATTCGCCAAGGTGGAGATTTGTTATGTATGGCTCATAAAAAGTCTCGTTGTGGGGTTACGAATTATGTGGGTTGGGGGTGCGGGGGCGCAGCCCCCGCGGTACGGTACAGGGTTGATTTTGTAATTATGTACCAGGGTTTTCTATTATAAATAGAGATGTAACCTAGACCTAAAATATAATTGAATAAAACTTCTAGCGCCGCCTAGGCACCGAGGACGTAAGCACATTGCCGAACCTCGTAAAATTCTCGTGTTCTTTCGTTTTCTTTACCCGTTTTCGTCAACACTTTCTTCTCCTTTTTCCCCTTATAATTTGGCTTAAATTACAACCAAATGGCCGGAATAAACTTAATTTACCGCCATCACCCTCAAAGCTCCCAATCATCGGCAACATCCATCAACTCGGCAAGCTTCCCCACCGTTTCCTCCGAGACCTCGCCAGGAGATATGGCTCACTCTTGCTACTTCAATTGGGCCATAATCCAACGCTGGGGGTTTCATCAGCCGACATGGATAAAGAAATCGTCAAAAACCATGACGTTGCTTTCTCGGGCAGACCAAGAACCACTGCTGCAAACATCCTGCTTTACGGTTGCAAGGATGTCGGTTCGCGCCGTACGGTAAGTATTGGAGACAAGCTAGGAAGATCTGTGTCACGGAGCTGTTGAGTCTTCGAAGAGTTAACTCGTTTTAGTTCTTAAGAGAAGAAGAAGTTGAAGTCACCATTGATAAACTGTCGAGATTCTTTTGATGGAGAGCCCGTTAACCTATCGGAGTTGCTGATGGTTGTTTCGAATAACCTAGTTTCGAGAAGCGCGCTTAGTCAGAAATTCGAAGACGATGACGAAGGGAAAAACAAGTTTGGGTTGTTGGCGAGAAGGCTAATGATTCTCATAACGGATTGTTGTGTCGGCGACATGTTTCCTTACTTGAAGTGCATTGACGTTCTTCGAGGATTTACATCAAGTCTGAAACAAGTTAATAAAGAAATGGATACATTTTTTTATCAGATCATTGAAGAACATGGATCTTTGAAAAACAATGGCGAAAAGGATCTTTTATCGATCATCCTCAAACTCCAAGAAGACGGCTTGCTTGATATGGACCTCACCCCAGACAACATCAAAGCAATCATGCTGGTATTTTTACAAGGTTAACATGTCCTTGTTCTTTAGATATGTCTTTGTCTGATTTTGAAAATTTCAGGACATGTTGGTTGGTGGAACTGATACAACTTCAACAACGCTCGAGTGGGTAATGGCTGAACTAATTAAGAACCCAAACGGCATGGAAAAGCTTCAAAAGGAGATAAGAGATGTGGTTGGAAATAAATCAAAGATAGATATGAAGGATATAAATCAAATGGATTACTTAAGATGTGTAATCAAAGAAGCTTAAAGGCTTCATCCAGCAATTCCACTCCTTGTCCCTCGACAAACAACATCATTGGTTAACCTCGGAGATTACGAAATACCTCCAAATATTACAGTTTTCTTTAATGTGTGGGCGATTCAAAGAGACCCCGAATTGTGGGATAAACCAGAAGAGTCCATCCCAGAAAGATTCGAGAAAAGTTCGGCTGATTTCAAAGGTCAAGATTTTGAGTATTTCCCAATTGGTTTCGGCCGAAGGGGATGTTCAGGATTGGCGTTTGCGGTGGCGTTCATTCTTTATCTGGTTGCTAATCTCTTGTATTGGTTCGATTGGGAATTGTCTGATGGTGAAAATGCCGAGAATTTGGACATGGGTGAAGTCTATGGGCTCACTGTCTGCAAGAAAGTACCCCTTCGTGTTCTGCCCATATTTACAAAACCCAATTAGAGGAGTAGACACAATTGAATTATTAAGTTGAAGCGTCAATTTGGTACGTCTATATTTTCAGTCGAGGAGACAATTATTACACTAAGCTCGATAGTTTAATAAATAAATTTCGAAGTTATACATTTATTTTTTAAATTTTTTCATATTTATGGATATTACTTTTGAAAATTATTTGTGTATTAATTAATTATCTTTTTTAAAATATAAATTAAAAGAACGATGATCGAATTGAACGTGAAATAATAAAATTATGCAAAAATTATCCAGTTTAGAGGGCTTCGAAACCGTGAACATTATGCCTCAGAGGTTTTGAAACTTTTACTTAAAGGTTCTGGAATCTCTGCTCTCGAACATCAAAAATGCTATTTAAAAAAAACATTTAATTATTTTAATGGGCTAAAGGCCTTCTGGACTATTCTCCCACATATCGGGACCCACCCCGAACAAATCCTTCTTCCATATCCAACGCCATCTCTCACATCTCAGTCCATTTTCACTCACGATCTCTGCAACAACAAACATTTATCAGAGGTTTCGTTGCTCCATTCAAATAAACCCATCGAAAACTGGGTACTCCTTGCATTCTCTTTCACTTTTTTCTTGCATAATATTCTTTGAGAATTATTTTTCCGTCGTGTATGCTTGTAATATTTTCATGGTTAAGAAGCAGAGTGAGAGGAATCTATTAAATGTTGAAATTTACCAAACTTGTCTCGATCTGTCTCTCATGGGTTTGATCTGGGATTTATTTTATTTGATGTAACCTCAATGGGGTTGTTGATTTCTTTCCCGAAGTTTCAATGAATCATTGTTCTTTGTCTTTAGTTTTTTCACTCGAAGAATCTGCCCTTAATAAAAATACACATTTTGTATTTGTTTCTATTTTTTTGCCAAATTTGCTGAGAAATACAACTGTGAGCATCACAATCTTCTAAGGGGAAGTTAGTTGGAGTCTATGTTACTAGGTTTCTTTATTTTCCCTAAACTATCCAACACATGTTCTCAGACGATAGTACTAGAATATGTTCATTCTCATGTCAAACGCATAACATCCACCCGGATTGATACTGAAATAAATGGTACGAAACATACCCTTAGTTCAGGATGATTTGTTCATCATCATGTGGTCTAGGAGATTAGAATAAGAACAAACACTCATCAAATGCTATTGATTGTATGCTTTGTGTCTACCGTGGTGAATTGTATTTCGAAGTAGTTTGCAGTTTTATATAACTCAGAATCCTAGAAGATTGCATATGAGAATGGGTTGAGAAATTTTCTAAACCATAAAGTACTTATGAGTTTCTTACTATTGACATTGTCTATTTTTTAGGTCTTGATGCGCACTTATGCACCCACAAAAGTCTAGTTTTATTGAATAGATTAAAATACTAATACATAACTTTCGAGGAGAGTATCACGTTGTTTAATTAGACTAAAAAAACTCAATGGAGTAAAGATGAAAAATGCTGGAAAACATTTAGTAGTGCGAATATAAAAAATGGAGAATGGAGGTTAGCAAAGTCCATATTTTAGGGGATTTTTACAGTAAAGTTTTTTTTTTCAAATATTTTATGACCACACCTAAATTTGAGAATATTATGCAAGAAAAAAGTGAAAGAGAATGCAAGGAATACCCTGTTTTCGATGGGTTTATTTGAATGGAGCAACGAAACCTCCATTCTCCATTTTATTATATTCGTACTCCTAAATGTTTTCCACCATTTTTCATATTTACTACATTGAATTTGTTTAGTCTAATTAAATGACATGATACTCTCCTCGAAAGTTATTTACTAGTATTTTAATCTATTCAATAAAACTAGACTTTTGTGGGTGCATAAGTGCACGTCAAGACCTCAAAAATATACAATGTCAATAGTAAGAAACTCATAAGAACTTTATGGTTTAGAAAATTTCTCAACCCATTCTCATATGCAATCTTAATATTGACATGTATGCACCCACAAAAGTCTAGTTTTATCGAACAGATTAATTAGTCTCCAAGACTTCTGTGGTTGTGACCATAATCTTTTAGTTGAATCCTTTCTGTGGTCGGATTATTGGACTTTCTGCAATGATCAACAACACGAAGGAACCCAAAAGGTCTAATGCTTTGTTTAGGTTTAACGCATTTGTTTGGTATTTACATTGTTTCAACTTTTCAGTAATGTGCTGATGGCTGTTAAAAGTATGAGATTCTCTGCTTCACCTGTTAGCCATCATGCATATAATTAATTTCTTTCGATTTTTTCACTTTTTAATGAGCATGTTTCATTACTGATTTCTCTCAATTTGACCTTGCAAAATTGATCATTGAGATGGTAATATGATAGGAGTCAGAAGTGATTCCTTCATGGACTTGGCAAGCGGATTAGCAAATGTGCAAAGCAGGCATCCTATATTTTCCTTTGGTGTTATTGCTGATGTTCAGTATGCTGATGTCCCTGACGGTCACTCGTTCCAAGGTGTTCCTCGGTATTATAGACATAGTATTATTGTTTTACAAAGGGCAGTCAAGAGCTGGAATAACCACAAGAATCTTAACTTTGTGATTAATTTCGGAGATATTGTTGATGGGAAGTGTCCCAAGGATCAATCTCTAGATGCTGTGAAGAAAGTAGTCGGTGAGTTCGAAAAATTTCATGGTCCAGTGTATCATATTATTGGAAATCATTGTCTTTACAATCTCCCACGGGATAAGTTACTTCCTTTATTGAAGATCTCGAATCATGGTGGTGGTCATGCCCATGCATACTATGACTTTTCGCCAACACCAGGATATAGATTTGTTGTATTGGATGGATATGATATCAGTGCAATCGGATGGCCTCATGACCATCCGGATACATTGGAGGCCTTGAAAATCCTGAGTGAAAAAAACCCGAATTCAAATAAAAACAGCCCGGAGGGACTGGATGGCTTTGATAGAAGGTTCGTTATGTTCAATGGAGCAGTTGGAAAGGAGCAGATGGAATGGCTCAGTAGTGTGCTTCAGGATGCAACAAATATGAAACAGAAAGTTATTGTATGTTGTCATCTGCCATTAGATCCAGGTGCAACAAGCAAAACGACGCTGTTATGGAACTACGACCAAGTAATGGATGTGATTCACCGATACGATTGTGTGAAGGTTTGTCTCGCCGGGCATAATCATGAAGGAGGATATTCAATTGATTCTCATGGAGTTCATCACAGGGTGCTTGATGCTGCTTTAGAGTGTCCTCCTGGTACTGATGCTTTCGGGTATATCGATGTTTATGACAGCATGTTATCGCTTGTTGGCACAGTCCGATTGGAAAACACCGATTTTATTTTCAATTCTTGAACAATTTTTTGATAAAAGATCAGTTAAATTATTTCATCAAAGATGTATGGAGTGTATGTTATTGTAATTTGATCGAAAAAAATGTATGTCAATGTTCGAATAAATTAGTACGAGATATTATAGTTATTATTTTGAATAGTCTACTTAAGATATCAAGAAAAATTAGATAAATCATACTGGTGAATAGTCTATTTGACATACATTTTATTAGTGAATAGTCTATTTAAGATATCAAGAAATATTAGATAAATGTAATATATTTTTATATTTAAAAGATGTATAATTATTGTAATTATCAAACTCTTTAAAATATAATATTCAGTTTAAAATAATATATATGATAAAATTTAATTTGAGTTGAATTAAGTTTTTAAAACTCTCTAACAGTTAGAGTTGGGTGACCTGTAGAGGTTGAGATGCTATCGTATCAGCTTGGAATCGACATCGTATGAACGTGGTCGAATTTACAACAAATCTCTATAGTTTCATATTAACTTTTCTAGAAGAAATAAGGTAATATTTTGCATCTTTCTTTCTTAATTCGTTGATCGTACTTGGATCTCTAGAAGAGATCGTTAGATTGATTTTTCCGTTGTACCATAGTGTATTATAACGACACTAATAAATATTGTTTTAGTTTGAGGCTTTAGTGTTTTTTTTTGGCAAGACAAATTTAATGTGTCACGCCAACATTTATTAGTGACAATTTACGTTATTGATCGTAATAAAAATAAATTAAAAATTTATTGACTGTATTACAAGTTTGAAAAACTTGATAATCTGAATGAAAATATTCTAAAATTTTGATAACTATTTATGTAGTTTATTCTTTTTATAATATTTTAGATTATTTTTCTAAAATTGCTCCACCTATTCTTATAAAAATTATATATATATATATATCCACTTATACAATTATAAAACTTTCAATTTCATACAGATTTAAAATAATTGAATTACTGAAAATAGATGACTGAGAATAATTCATTATTTTTTAGTGAATATCATCTTACTTTCTATTATTAATATGAGTTGTTTATTTTCATTTATCAACTTTCATAAACATATTTCAAACTAAAATTTTTTATATTATATAATTAGATTTTGTCTCATATATATATATATTTATTCACTCATGCAGCGCTATTAAATCTATATAAAATTATATATGCATTTCTACTCATTTAATGATCTTGCAATGACATTAATGTAAAACTAAAATAGTTTTACCTTATATAATAGGATTATATGTATATATATTATATGTGTGCGTGTGTAATTCACCACATAAATTGATCCCAACTACTTTGCATAATATCCAACGGTCTCTCTCTCCTTCGACCATTTTCAGTCACAAATCTCTGCGACGACCAACATCTCTTGGAGGCTTCGTTGCTCCATTCAAATCCACACAGTCAAAACAGGGTATTCCTTTAGGTTCCCTTTCACTCTTTCCTTCCATAATATTCTTTGTTTGAGAATTAATTTTCCGTTATGTATGCTTGGATGTTTTTAGATTAGATAGATTAATTACCTGTGATTTCCTGTCATGAAACCAACATTTTCATGGATAAGAAATTAAGAAGCAGAGAGAAATAGGAATCTATTAGTTGTTGAAATGTATTAAACTTGTATGTGGTTTCCTGTTAGTTATCTGTGATTTTTTTGGTTTGGTGTAACCTCAATGAGGTTGTTGATTTCTTTCTGGAAAGTCAAAATTTGGATGAATTATTGTACTTTGTGTTTAATTGTTTATTCGAAGAATCTTCCCTTAATGCACCCAGACTAGGGTAAAAGGGAATGTTGTTCTTAGAGGATCCGAGTTCGAGCAGCTGTAATGTGCTACTCAAATTGTTTCTCAGATGAATATATGCAATAGGATTTTGTTTCTCAGATGCTCAAATTGTGTGAAACTGCTTAATTTAGGTTTAATGAATTTGTTTTCTATTTACATTGCTTCAACTTTTCAGTAATGAGCTGATGGCAGTTAATTGTATGGCATCCTTTGCTTCACCTATTGGCCATCATGCATGTAATTCATTTCTTTCGATTTATGTTTTTTATTTTTTAATGAATACATTTCATTACTAATTTCTTTCTCGATTTGACCTTGCAAAATTAATGATTGAATTGTTAATATGATATGAGAAGGAGTGATTTCTGCATGGCCTTGGCAAATGGATTAGCAAATGTGCAAGGCAGGCATCCTATATTTTCCTTTGGTGTTATTGCTGATGTTCAGTATGCTGATGTCCCCGACGGTCACTCTTTCGTCGGTGTTCCTCGGTATTATAGACATAGTATTCTTGTTTTGGAAAGGGCAGTCAAGAGCTGGAACAACCACAAGAAACTTAACTTTGTGATTAATTTCGGAGATATTGTTGATGGGAAGTGCCCCAAGGATCAATCTCTAGAAGCTGTGAAGAAAGTAGTCTGTGAGTTCGAAAAATTTCGTGGTCCAGTGTATCACATGATTGGCAATCATTGTCTTTATAATCTCCCTCGGGATGAGTTGCTTCCTCTATTGAAGATCTCGAATCATGGCAGTCATCACGCACATGCATACTATGATTTTTCGCCAACACCGGGATACAGATTCGTTGTATTGGATGGATATGATATCAGTGCAATCGGATGGCCTTGTGACCACCCGAATACATTGGAGGCCTTGAAAATACTGAGTGAAAAAAACCCGAATTCAAACAAAAACAGCCCGGAGGGACTGAAGGACGTTGATAGAAGGTTTGTTATGTTCAATGGAGCAGTTGGAATTGAGCAAATGGAATGGCTCGATACTGTACTTCAAGATGCAACAAATATGAAACAAAAAGTGATCGTATGTTCTCATCTGCCATTAGATCCAGGTGCAACAGGCAAAACGTCGCTTTTATGGAACTACGACCAAGTAATGGATGTGATTCACCGGTATGATTGCGTGAAGGTTTGCCTCGCCGGACACAGTCATAAAGGAAGATATTCAATTGATTCTCATGGAGTTCATCACAGGGTGATTGATGCTGCTTTAGAGTGTCCTCCTGGTACTGATGCTTTCGGGTATATCAATGTTTATGACGACATGTTATCGCTTGTTGGCACAGATCGATTGGAAAACACCGATTTTAGTTTCGATTCTTTAACAATTTCTTGATTAAAGATCAGTTAGATTCTTTCATCAAAGATGTATGGAGTGTATGTTGCTGTAAATTGCACCAACTAAAGTTATTCCACTGATAATAATAAGAACAAAGTGGAAGTTTTCAAGTCATTTAGGGGAAGTCAAAGTAAGTTAATAAAGAAGTATATATCCATGTGCAGTGCATAACAGATAAGCCTTACGGTTTAATGATTTTATTATGAATTTATCATACATACATATATGAGCTTGCTCACTTATCTAGACCAGATCAAGAAAAAAGTAAAAGAAATAATTTCTTAAAACAATGTGCTTTGTCCAATTCTGAGCCACTTGCTTCAATCCCAGCTGTGATTTCATTTTTCTCTGCTCAATAATGGAGTCATACATGATACATCCATTCACCACTCCATGGTGTCCCATAACATGAAAGATTGAATCTTATGGTATTAATGGGTGATGTCATTCAATCTTCCAGGCATAAAGAAACAAACAAAACTCTGGTGTGCCACCATTGTTAAGCCCTTCTAATGAACCACTGCTCCCTGTTTGTGACGATAATGACAATGACGATAATGGCGAGGATGACGACGATGACGACAGAACAGGCTTGAATATAAACAAGGCATGCCTTAAACCAGGACTGAAAAGCCAATCATGTACATCCCAGTAAACTTGTAATCTTCTTTTGTTGACATTGATGGATTCATTCCCTCTGAATTTCCATTGAAGATGCTGGACATGAAGGGCCAAATTCCCATCAATTCTCATCTCCATTTCAGGCTCAACAACAATAACCCCATCCAATGAATCCACATTTCTGTTCTTACACTCGATTGAAATCTCATGAAACCCACCTTTTTCATGAAATTTAGCTCTTGTTGAGAATCTCTTTCTTCCAAATATATGCTCTTTTCTTGAAACCAAAATGGGATCAATAAGTGCAGGCCTGCAACCAGTTTTCCTATAAGCTTCCTTCTTTAGATCTCCAACAAGTAAAACAACTTCTTCATTACAAACAACTGCAACATAGTAGTCGGAAATGGGTTCGGTTTGACCATTGAATTTAACAGCCTTGAGGTGCCAAAACACGTCAACAGGTTTATTACCGTCGATCACAAATCGTTTGGAACCTTGTTTTCTCCAAAACCACCATGGTTTAAGCTCAAATTTACACCCATACTGGTTCTCTCCCTGGGGACCTTCCACTGATACCGAAAGACCATGGAGTAACTCATTCTTGCACCAAGTGACAATGACCAAACGACACTGGTCGGCAATCTTCGTTCGGAAAACAGATATGAAAACGCTCTCGCCGGACCTAGTGACGGCTGTCGGATCATCACTCGGCTTTTCACCCGATGAAAAACAAGCAGGAATCCCAATGGTGTCTTGCATGTTTTTTTTTTCAGTGAATTCGATCCAAGCTGAATCAATGAAGCTTGAACTTGGAACCCGAAATAGAGCAAGAAAAAGTGGTGAAGAAGACGTGGGAATAAGAATGAGTTGGAGAAAGAACATAAGTGTGTGAGGATACAGATCTTAGTCACAAGATGTATGAATGTCATTCAGAAGCTGCCAGAGTTTTTCTTGGCGGCATTAATGGAAAATAAAATATTAAATTACAAACTGGCAGATAGATGGCAGTGAGTGAAGAACAAACCCATTTTTTGGATGTATATATATATATATATTTTCCATTGATCAACTTCTCCCTCCTGGATGTTTATTTTTATGATTTGTTTTGTTCCCATTGTTTTCTATTTACTACTACTTTATTCTTTCTTCCTCATTTTTTTTTCTGGACAACTTTATTGGATCCTATGTGGTTTCTTCTCCTTCGGGACGGTTTAACTCTATCAATTTATCAAAATAAGATTCCATCAACATATATTTTAATATTTTAATAATTGATTTTAATTTTTTATATTTTAATTAATTAATATAATATGCGTTTAAAAACTTATTTAGTATATCAATACTAAAATAGTTTATTTTGTAGAAAGTAAAAATATTGATAAACTATCGCGTTATTTGATAAAATATCAATTTTGTGGAGAACAAAAAATTAATAACTCAAATATTATTTTTATAATTTGATTAAAAGAATTTATAGCTTATTTTATATATAATATTTTCCTTATTTTCAAAAATGATATTTATCAAATATATAATTTTTTTATAAATTAAAATATACTTTAATAATTTTTATATACTTTCAAAATACAATTAGTTCAAAAATATTAAATGAATATATTTTACAAAATGTTTCAAATGAAAAAATTTATAAAATAAAACTCATACAAAAGTTGGCATATAATTTTGGATAAATTGCTAAAGAATATCATTGAGCTTTATATTTTATATCGTTTTTAGCTTCAATTTTAGTATTGAACTTTAATTTCAAGTTTAATTAGAGCATTGAATCGTTAAATGGTTAACAATGTGATGATGTGATTGTTTCTTCTTGTGAATTTTAATTTGTGTATTGATTTTATCACTGAACTTTAAAAATTTCAAACTTAGGCACTAATTCAATTTGCATATCATTTTGGTCTATGCATAAAACCGTCATCTCCTTCATCTGTCGTTGTCAATCAATTATAATTTGTCATTGATTTCATTCGCAACAAGATCAGTACCAAAATATTTATATTCCACTCATATTTCTTTTCCTTAGATGGATTTTCTACAAAACCTACTCAAAATCGATAAAAAAATTATCTAAAGATACAATATTCTAATGCTTTGATCTCTCCTGACAATCATCCATTGAGGCTAGTTTCGAGGTATATTATTCGTTTTATTGAAAATATACTTCACTATTCAAATTTTTGAACAAATATCCCAAACCCTAAAAAAGATTAATTTTATGAGTTTGAAAGAGGTTTTGAGAAATCATAATCAATAAAAGTGATAGAGTACAATGAGCTCAAAATAACATGTTCGACCATGAATTCCTGAAATCTCGCATAATATATATATATATATATGAGGTTTTTCAAGTGTTTAAATATATTCTTTTAAAGATACACTAAGTAATTGAAAACAATTCTTATACATGTGTGTCACTGTTGTGATGCCTGGCTCATGCTCATGCTCGTTTTTATGCAAATATGTGTCTTCGACACGCACCGCACATTCTTATTCTTTCTAGACAAATTTTTTGTACTCTTTTTCTTTCTTTATTTCATTTTGATCCAACCTTTAAAAACTTTGATCAACTTCTACCACATCAACATAAGACACTTCCTATTAAAAATATCTTCCGAAAAATGCATTAGACTTGATACACTTATCAAAAAAATTATCAATTCAAAAATTAATCTACAATTAGGGTTAATTCATGAATTAATATTTTTAAAGATGATATTTGAGTAAAATCCCTTACATTAGGCCCATATTAATAACATTTATTATCATTTAAAAATAATAATAAAAAGGTATTTAAACATTTTCCTTACAAAAATAAAATATTATAAAAATATATAAACTAAACATTTGATATATTTTTTTTTTTTACAATTCCGTGATTTAATTGTCAATCTTATAAAATTTAATATATTAGCACATATACGTTGTGAGTTGAGATACAAAGTTAATTTATTTTTTTAATAATTCCTATCTAGAGGAAGGGAAGAAGAATTTTTCTTCTAATTGGTGTTGTGAAACTTAAGAGAGAGTGAAAATATTAACTGAAAACGTTTAACCTCGTACTTTAAAGAATATGAAATGCGTATTGTGCTGTAAGGAGGAAGAGTCAATCTTGCACCTTTTTTCTCCACTATGATCTATCTAGGCTCGTCTGGTCCAAATGGCTAAGATTATTGCGAATTTATTTTTGGGCCAAAAGCAAGTGGCCATTCTCGGTTACTTCAGTTCTCGAGTTCACCTGCAACCCTCGTGCTTTCAGCATCTTTAACTCGAAGTGATTGGTTATGGCTTGAGCAGAGAATGGGGGTTTAGCCTATATTTTATGTAATGTGTTTTGGTTGTATTCCGTCATCGATGTAACTGTGGAATGCTTTGGTTAATAATATTCGGGTACTCTTTTCTCTCTAATAGGATTTTTAGGGGGTTTTAACAAAATTACCTTCTCTATATACATATTTCTAAGCCTGTGAGCCTCCTCATCCATTGGCTTATCGAACTTCTTATGTATGTGCGCCTTGTTGTTGTCACCTTCTTCATCAATTGAAGTCATCTCACATTGAATCAATTTAATCCTTGCTATCATCATAGATGGATAGAGGGATTGACAGATGATTGTCTCTTTGAAATTTTTAAATTCTCGCATAATTTAAATGTATTTTTTTTATATTTTTTTATCGATAATTTATTTTTATTTCTTAAAATTTTATAGATTCTCTCGTAAAATTTTATAAATTTACTCAATAACATAAAGTTCTACGTGACTATCATTAATTATTTAAAACTTGGTCAGCACCCACTGGACTGATGTCCATGATATCAACTTTATTTTGCTGAAAACGAGTCCTTAAACTTGAACCAAACCTTTACTTTTTCCCATGCACAAGCCGATTGAGAATTGGAACTTGTCAGTGAATTGAAAACAAAAGCTATGAAATGCACCATTTCCCCCTCAAATATGTAATTTATATCAAGTTGTTTATTAAAGTATTTTTTAAGATGTTTTGTCTCTCAAAGTTTAACGTTAATTTCATTAAAAAAATCAAGGGTGCGTTTGGTTCACGGAATGTAAGATTATCAGTGGGAATAAAAGATTATCAGGCAATAAGATTACTGGGAATGTTGTATTTTGCGTTTGGTTGGTTTAGCAGAAATGTAAGATTACCGTATTTGGTTAAAGAAATAAAACATTATTGAAATATATATTTTATCAAATTGTCCTTATTGTATATTTGTTTTTTTTAACAAGTTGAATTATACTATAATATTACTATAATTAATTTATATATTTTATTTAAAAAAATTAAATTCATAAAATTTATATAATTTTTTTACAAAATTTATATAATTTTTTTTACAAAATTTATATAATTTTTTTTACAAAATTTAAAAGATAAATAGGTTTATGAAAGGGTAAAATTTTATTTTAACCCCTGAACATCATATAAAATTCTAATTATGGACTTTTTATAAATTTAAAATAGTTTAAGGATAAATTTGTAATTTAACCTTTGTAGAATTTTTATTATTCAACGACAGAAGAATGATAATTTTGAAAGAAAAAAATTTAAGAGTATTTTAGTCCAAAACGCCGGTAATCCAACAATACCTATAGGAATGGGGTAATCACATTCCCGGTAATATACCCCAAAAAATTCACTGTTGGTAATAAAATATTACCGGAAATAAGATTACCGACCAACCAAACGGGGGAATGAGGATTCCATCCCCTGATAATCCTTTATGCCGTGAACCAAACAGGCCTAAGGATAAATTACATATTGAATCATTCAACTATTCTTACGATTTTGTTTTGATTATTCAACTATTATTTTTTAAAATCATCATTGAATTTAAATTTTAGTTCCATTTTGATCACTTATTATTATATCTGATTGCTTAAAAACTTATTTATTTTGTTGAAATAGTTGTGGATAGTCCCATTTATAGAAATAAATAGTTAAGACTTTATTTTTTATATTTTTAAGATATTAGATTGCACGGTTTTCTACATTTCGCAGGTCAATAATTTACATTTCATTTCTTTAATAACCCTATAATATTGCTGACTTGGGTTTTTAATGATTATTGGTTTCAGTCATTGAAGTTATACCCAGCAGAGCTCTCTCTTACAGCTTTGATATGCTTTATTGGGACCATTGGAGGTGCAGCAATGTCGTTTGCAATAAACAGAGATGTGAATGCCAAGAAAATTTGATTTGATTCAAGCTTGCTAGCTGCTGTATATTCCGTAAGTACCAAAACAAAAGCTAAAACAATAAGCTTTGAATTTATAGTAACAATGATAAATTTATAAAACTCTTGTGGTTAATTAATCAGGGAGTGGTGTGTTCTGGAATCGCATACTATGCACAAGGAGTTGTGATTAGGGAACAAAACCCAGCATTACTATACTTCAATGAGAGCAACACGGTGATAGACTGCCAGGGTTTGCTCGGCATTCATATGCTAGCTTACTGTACTTCAATCACAAAAGGTGTTTCAACTGTCATGGTCTCCTATTCAAGCTGGAATGGGATTAAAATGCATACTAATCGTGAGTTAATCACAGGTTTCCTCAAGAACACACTTGGTTTTAAGCTACAACTCTTTCTCATTGGACTGAAATCAAGTTTCATAGTCACTATAGCTATGTTTCTCAGACTCAAGTTTAGGCATGAATACTTCAGAAAAACGAAAAGTTACTTTACAAAAGAACCTGGGAACATAATATTGATTTTTGCACA